CGTCAATGGCGAATTTCAGACAGATTGCTGACAGGTTATTTGGCATGCACGACCTGCTTTTCGCTGCAGTGGAGGCTCGACTGCTGCGCAGGGGTAGGCCGGTCGCACGAATGCGGTACGAGGCCTGTCCTCCTCGTTGTCGTTAATCATTCGGTTACCCCCTCCCCTCCAAACACCCAGGATGGTCATAGTGAAGTCATTGCTTGATTACGATACCGACAGCGTGAGTAGGTCTGGCCGCGCGCTTTGGAGGGCGCGCATACGACATGAGACGAAGTAGGAAGTGGGCAGTCTCCGGAGTTATTTAATTGAGCTGTATTCATTTATGTTCAAAACCTCGCCCTACTGGTGTCTATCCGTGGTGACCTGCAAAATTTAGCCGCTCAAATGATCGTCCATACACACTGCAACGGTTAAGTTTTGGTTAACTATATACGATGGCAAGCAAAAGCATCCCATGTGTAGGATTGCAAACATGTGGCCACAAAACCGACAGAGTAGCACCACTATCAACACCCCAACCGGTGCTGTTGGCAGGCAGTTAGCGTAGGCACACTTTAGGACATCTTGGTCGCGACCTAGATCTACCTGTGCCGTTTATTTATCAGACAAATGCCACTTTCTATGCGGGTGGACGACGCTCGAAGGAAGATTGTCTGATCCACAACCGAAACGACCTTCTTACTTGATAACTGTTTTATCCTTGGGGCGAATTCGTTAATGATGAACATTAAAGAACACAGCACTTTTTGTCAGACTTAAGAAAAATTCGAGAGGCTTCTTTGCTACGATAAAAACTGCTTTGGCGGACTTAACTACATAAGTAATCTAAAGAAGTACGGCATGTTACGTTTGGGGGATGAAAGCCTGGATGTCAGTCTGCGCATCTGTGAGTTTTGTTGCCTGACAGTTACTGTGAACATAGTATTTTTTCGCGCCAATCTGCTGTTCCATGTAGTTTTGCCCGGCGTTACGATCATCTGCCGCCTTTTAACATGCAAATACAGCGGCCTGTTTTGCACTGTGTGCATGCGTACACGTCCATTTTCGTGTACGTGTTATTATCAGTGTTTTGCCTGGCAGAAAATGTGCCATTCCCCGGCGCCTTTGACTCTACATGTAATATGCGCCGATAGGACAGGCTTTTCCATGCCCAGGCCCCTTAGCCTGCGTACAGGCATCCGAATTCCTGTGCTGCACATGCTCTCGTGGCTTGCCTCTCATGGTTTTTCCTCTGCTGCGTATGTTGTTTAACAAAGGTCAATTTTGACGTTGCTAGTGACCACGTTTTCATCCTTATTTCAGCGTTGCTGCCCTTATACTATTCACCAAACATGAATTTTGTATAAGACAAAAACAAATTCTTATTAGTTCACGATAGGCGACTGAGGGACGATGCTGGTGCGTAGCTGAAAATTAATGGGTTCAAAATCCCGAAGCCAAATATGCTGTGGTTAAGAAAGAACGTCACTGGAAAATGCACAACGATTGTACCATTGTGTCCCTAAAAAGCTCAGT